AGACTAACAAATTTATTAGAGCATAAGCTTTCGTGGACTACAGCCCACTTCTTCAGATGTATCCGATGAAGTGGGCTGTAGTCCACGAAAGCTTATGCTCTAATAAATTTGTTAGTCTGTAAGGTGCCACAAGTACTCCTGTTCTTTTTTCGAAATACAGACAGTATAGAGCCAATATGCATAACTTTAACTACAAAATTGATACACACATATAGACAGCATAATCATAACCAGTAAATATAGCCTTGTCTTAGACACCCCATTTGACCCCCTTTATACAAGATTTGGGTGCCACTACAGGACCTTGGTTGCAACAATGATCTATATGGTCCCAGATTATATCAATAACGTCACACCTTCCCAGTCAATACTCCCCGCTCAGTATTCAAAGAACACTCAAGAACATTCCCAGTTCATCACACTGCCCGCCCCCCGCAAGCTCCATGGGGCAGTGGACGGTGACTGTCCCCCCATCAGCTCCATGGGGCAGTGCATGCCAACCTGCCTCCCCCAGCTCCGAGAGGAATGGGCGCTGACTGTCCTCCCTCCAGCTCCGTGGGACAGTGGGCTCTGACGGCCCGTGGGGTTCCCAGCTCGACGCTCTCTGATGCTGTTTCTCGGCCCCTAGAATGGGATTACTCCGCTGCATGTGGCCTCCCGCCGGGGCAACGTCATCATGGTGCGGCTGCTGCTGGACCGAGGGGCCCAGATAGAGACAAGGACCAAGGTGAGACTCACCGTGTCCCCAGCTTGTGTCCCGCCCCCCCCAGTGCATGCATGGGCCCGAGACACACACCCCACCCCGCAGACCAGAGCCCTTGTGCGTCGGGAGCCACTGGCCACGTGCGTGCACTGTCCAGATGGGCTGGTGAGCGAGCGTGTCACTGGGCCCTGGGGAGAGGGCAGCTTGACGGAGATATGTGGCTGGCTCCTGGAGCGTACAGGGAGCATCAGGCTGGGACAAGCCTCCCGTACCTTGTGCGCTTGATTTCACATCCCTGAGGTCCACAGAGTCTCTTGCCATCCCCCGCCCGCCCCGAGGTCCTGACCTCCCTCTCTGTTCTCTAGGACGAGCTGACTCCCCTGCACTGTGCAGCCAGGAATGGACACGTGCGAATCATGGAGATTCTGCTGGACCACGGGGCTCCTATCCAAGCAAAAACCAAGGTGCCTGGCCCTGGCCTCTGGGGCTCTGGGTGTTGCCTTGCCTTGGCTCTGCCTCGGAGCCTGGGCCTGCTCCCTGGGTGCTGGGGAAGCGAGGGCCCTGAGCGGCCCATGCTAGCTGGGCACTAATGGGCAGAGACCAGGGAAGGCCCCACGCGTTAGACAGAGGCTCCCTGAGCCGTAGTGCGTGCATGGGCCTGCCCCGGCAGCCTGGAGTGGGCTCCTGGCGCTCCGCGGGTGGGGAAGAGCAGCTCTGATTTGATGCACAAGGCAGCGTGGGCGTCCCCAGCCCACATCGAGCACTGCCCTCACTCGGCGCCCC